GAACAGGGCCCTACCTGTGGGATTCGTCGATCCCAAAGAAATGGATGGCTCCCAAGACTGGTGCCTAGTGTTAAAGTCTCCTATCACAAGTGTAGAACCACGGAGTTGCCCAACGTAATAGGTAAATTCACTTTGTGTAACCGACCTGCCTGGATTATAGATCAGGAGTATGTTGCACCACTGAGTGCCCAAGGCAACTCTCACAGCCAAAGTTTCCAACACTCCACTCTCATAGGCTTGGAGAGAGAGGGTCGTACTCCGGAGCCAGTTGCATATAAGAGGAGCTAGGCCACCACCACCCCCTGAAAGGCGATCCCTACGGTAAACAGTAAAACCAGGCACCCGAAGAGAATGTCAAGGATGTAACCATGTCTCAGAGAGACCCACCACCAGTGGCTGTACCTCAGCCAGATACTGCTAAAGGTCCAGAAGCTTCCCCAGTATGGAATGTGCATTCCAAAGAAGAAAAACAGAGGAGTGAGAATGATTCTTGTGTGTGAACGAAGTAGCCCAATAAGGTGAGGGAGAACCGAGAGACATGCAGTCACAAAAGAGGTGCCCTGGAGGTAGAAATGTAGCATCTCCTCCACCAGAAGGAGAACAGGATAAGGAATAAAGCCCAGGCAGGCAAGAGTGAAAAGGCAGGACCTTCAAACGTGAAGGGTCCTAGAATAGGGACAGGCTGAGGCTGGTGTTGAGGAGAATTGGGGGGGGGGGGTGGCTGCGAGATGGGAGGCTCTGGGTCAGGTAAGCTGTCTACCGGAACTGGATGGGGTACCGAGCATTGAGGCAATGTGGAAACTGCACCACCTTGACGGGAGGATGTGCACTTTGAATGAGGAGGGGCATGGGCAATAACTTTCCCAATGGAAGCCAGGTCTGAGGACACCCTGAGTTGAAGTTGCCCCGGGGGTGGGGAATCCTCTAAAGGGAGAGAGAGGTCTGCAAGAGCCCCAAACCGATTTGTAACAGGGACATTAGCCCTCACAGATGCAGAGTACAGGTGCCCTGGCCGTGTTGGTACTGGGGAGACACCCTTAGTGGGGGGCACTGGAGGTGAAGGGGGCAAGGGCTGACAGACTGTGACTGGCTTTATGGACCGCAAGCAGGAGTTACATTCATCAAGCGAAAGAGACTGGGCCCTGGCTGAGTTTGCCAAATCATGAGCCTGGCAATATGCCAGGCAAGATCGAGACGTAACCTTGTGGTTTCCTTTACAGAAGTAGCATGAAGTCAGGTGGGTGAAGCCCACTGCAGTTGGCACATCTTACCTTACCATGGCAAGACAACTCTCTATGCCCAAAAAGGAAACATTTATGACACCAGAGTAAAGAAAAAGTATAAGGAAGAACAGGAAACCTTAGGTTGCCAAAAGTCACAAATCTCCGGAGAGCACCCGAGGAGATGGGGCAGGACGATTCGAGAGGCTCCAAAGCTCCTGCAAACCTAAGTCATCACCCCCGCTGTAAACCAATTCAGAGTGGATCTCCTCATCTGAGAGGGATGCAGAAATCAGTCCAGTTCTGCCCTAACAACAACCAGCAGAGAGGATTGAGGAGTGGACCTCCCAGCAGACAACATTCCACCTACCCAGGACATGAATGGCATTTAGTGGCAAGTTTCTAGCCAGAAAAGACTGACCATGGAGCCGGAGCCTTAGGGCTGCACCCCTACCAAGTTGCTGGACACCCCCATCTATGCAAGCCTTGACGAAAGGAGATCCACTGATGGCGTTGGTGACGTCCCATGGATTGGTGAAGGGTGTACCGCCATCCTTAAGAAGCACAAGAACCACCATCACGTCTGGAGTAATTTGAGGAGGAGAAGGAGCATAGTCTGGACAAGAGGTTGGTTGGCATTTTGGGCTAGACAGAGGCCTGGCACTGTCATCAACCTCAAGGGCTCGTTTGTTTATCCCAGTAGGGGGCACACTAGCCATATCTTGGTCCAGCGGTAATGAAACAGTTGTCAACTGAATAGGGACAGGAGGGGGGTCCCCCCTATGGGGGCGAACGACATCTCAGTCGAACCCCCCATAAATGGGCCACACAACACCGCCTGATAGAGAAAACAATGAAAATACAAGCACACAAGAAAAGAAAGACGGTGAAGCAGAGCCTAACAGGGCCTACCCCACCAACAAACAACTGAGGAGCCTTTGGAAGACACATCCACACGCCACCAATGCCGGCCGAGCTCTAACTGTATTTGTGTATATCTGAATAAACTTACTTTATGGGGTCAGCTGGTAGCGTTTGTGTTGACACTGGAGAGCGTGTGTTTGATCATGTAGGCTGACTCTGGCATAAACACATACACTTTGAACTTTTCTTCTTACGATAAACAATGTGAGTACGTGGAAACGTGAATGGAAAAAAAATATATGAAATGTAACTGATGCAAAACTGCAACAAAACTAGAATACGTGAGCAAATAACACTAATTTATTGTACACACAAAAAATGAAAATTAAAGGAACTTGGTACTTAACACAATGTGCTCAAATGGGGAAAAATTAAGTCATATACAGTCACTGCACAAAAATAGTAATAAAAAATGAAATGAAGCAGAATGACTGCAGAACGCGATCGAGAAAATACCCTTCAGCCGCGCCCAGACTCCTGGCTTGGAGGTCACACGTAGCTTGGCGCGCGCGCACACACATCACACACACACACACACACACACACACACACACACACACACACACACACACACACACACACACACACACACACACACACACACACACACACACAACAGGCCTAGTGTCTAATCGACATGTGCCTAAGTCAAAATGGTAACTAACTAACAGCCGCACAATCTCACCTCTCACTGCTGTAGCTTGCAAGGGCATAGGGACACTAAACAGGGCCTGAGGACATTCAGAGAGATGCGGGCTGAGTACTGGAGTGGTGATGAGGTGAACACATGATCAGTGCTCACCAGAAATGATACCGTGATGCCTATGTCCAATTTTGAGCAAAAATATGGATTGGAAGATACCTCTGCCATCTAGTGGAATGCTGGAATTAGCTGTGAACAACATGGGTAGGCGGATGGAGGTGAGGAAGGACGAACGTAGACACATACTCACCCCTCTGAACATGGCTTTCCTTATGCTGTCACCACTGTTCAAAGTTTATTCTCTATAAGGATTACAATGCTGAGTTTACAGAATTTTGGTTATTGTGTGGTTTACATGTAGTAAAATAATGATTACAGGGTGTACCACTAGAACACCTAGCATGACTAGGCATTTCGGGCAGACTTAGTTTAATTCTTAATTTTAAAATATTACAAATTATGAGGTAAGTTGGTATTATGGCTAAGTGACTAAATACTAGTTTGTGAGTTTAGCAATGTGAATGCTTTTGTTTTGGCACAGTACATAGTTTCAGTATTGGAGTATCATAGGATTCATTATTTTAAGATTGAGATTAATATTTCTGTTTATGGTCAAATGGGTGAGTGAGTGTAAGTGTGAACCACCAGGTGGTATTCGTGTAGATTAGTTGACAGGGTGTATCAGGGAGATAAGATGTTTTCTAATGGTAGTTTTGAAGGTGATGAATGTGTCTGCAGTTCTAGAGTTCTCAGGTAGGGTGTTCCAGATTTTAGGGCCTTTGACATACATTGAATTTTTGTAAAGGTTTATTCGGACACGGGGAATGTCATAGAGATGTTTGTGTCTGGTGTTATGCCTGTGGGTTCTGTCACAACTATCAAGAAAGCGTTTTAGGTCAAGGTTGATATTGGAGTTTAAGGTCCTGTAGATGTAGATTGCACAGTAGTAAGTGTGGATGTACTGAACAGGGAGTAAGTTTAGATCTATGAAGAGTGGGGGGGGGTGTTGCCAGGGATGGGATTTAGTGATTATTCTTACTGCAGCTTTTTGTTGGGTTATTATTGGCTTTTTTTTTATTTTATTTAAAACATCATAAATACAAGGCTGCTTAAAAATTAAATAGCATCACCATACATATTCTATAGAGTACACCAAGATTCACACCATAAATACCAGAAAAAATCTTTGTAACTAATACTAATAGATATATGCGACACACACACCATAAAACACATACGTACGTCTCACTAAACACACACAATACCAAAAGATATAACTGTTTGCGCAACAATTATAACACTGGTGGAAACCCTCACTAAACCTGTTATAAGCTACATGCACATCATACAAACATGTTACATTAATGATTAAACAATAGTTTATGTAATTTGCATACAAAATATACAATTGTTTATAGAAATTCCTACTTAGACACAAATTCAATGATTTACTCTAACACAAATTCATCAACATAATAAACATTATATAAATTGACGATCATATTAATCGTCAGCAATTTCCATCCATTCTATATGTGTTCAATCTTGATACCTATGAACTACGTTTGAATCACAAACAAAAATCACAACATTACGAAATATTTATAGGATAAATTTGGACGACTCAGGGTAATGTACACGTGTTATATCCCTTTAATACTTTGTTGACTCACAGACTAGATTGAACAGTAACAGGGAAGGGATAAAACATGCATATATATATATATATATATATATATATATATATATATATATCTATATATATAATATATAATATATATATATATATATATATATATAATATATATATGCAGGTTTGTATACCCAAATATCTGGACTTATAAAACACAATCAAAAACAAAATACTAAGAAAACTTGTGACTCAGAAAAAACGAGTCTTTACACAAAAAAAAGCTTCAAAAACATAACAAATACTGTAAAGGTACCACTGTCATTTTGTACACAAAAGGTATAGTAAGTAACCTAACTCCAGAATCAACAAACACACATCCATAACAACTAGAATACATCCATGCCCCAATCTCATATCACGCAACTCACCCCCCTTCCCAAAGGAAAAAGACGAGCCAGCTATTGCCCACTGACCTATACGGAAACTTACCCGGATGCCGTATTTTATTCACAGATCACAAGGCTTTCAATAGTTAGCCTTTTATAACCGTCCAAAAAACCCTTATCCCACCTCATCCCATACAATTCCCTATTTCTGCACATTGTACGATAAAACGTTATTGCAAGGACACGCCTTCTCACCTCACTTACCCCTTTCCCCCTCATTAAACACGAAATATAAATGTAATCCACGATAATATAATCTAAAGCTCGGCTAACTTCCTGGTCTAATCCACCGATGTTGAGACTTAACGCGCGCAGGACCTGCACCCTTCTCCCCCACCCCCTGTACCACCCGATCGATCGATCAATACTCTCAGGTAAGACCCGTACGGGTGAAAGGGGGAGAGGTGGACAGGGGAAGAATAGTGGGTGAGAGGATGGTTTAAGTTGTAGGAAAAGAGCCAGGGCTTAACCCAGCTGCGTAGCATTATGGGGCTTGGTTGAGGGTCTGGTTCTGGGCTTGGGTGAGCATCGGCAATGGCGCAGTGAGGACTGGACTTGGTCCGGCAATGGTCCAGCAATGGAGGCAGAGGCGCAATGGGAGGCGGCGCCACGTCATCGCAGGTCATTCTGTTGTCTGCCTCTAGGTATGCAAGTGGCGGGGGAGAGGAAGGCCTGAGGTTGGCGGGAAAAGAAAAAAGACGTCGTTAAAGGTCCACACCTGCAGAGGGCAGGAAAGAGTTTAGAGGGAAGATTTATGTGTAAAGAGGGAGTGGGTCAGGGTTGTAGAGAGATTGGAAAAGGTTTAAAGTGTTTTCAGGTCGCCTGATTATTTCGTCTAGGAAGGTTGTCCAGGTGTCTTGGTGAGTTTCGAGTCGGTCAATTTGTCTGTCACTGAGTTTCTTCCAGAATACGTTCAATGCCGGAGTGCCGGTCCTGATGTGGAGAGACTCGCTGGTGGCAAAGTCGTCCCACCTCACTCCTAGCACCCACCGCAGAGCACGATTCTGGATTTGTTGTAGCTTTAAGACGTTCGTTTTGGCAGCGAGTGACAAGCCGAGAGGTGTATAAGAGAGAAGGGGACGGATGAGAGCCTTATATAGATGGAGTTTGGTGTGTGGGTTTGCGCCTCTGAGCTTGTACAGTCGCCCTAGGGCAGAACTGGCCAAGGCTCTTTGGACATTTATGTGGGTGTGTAGTCTGAGTCTGGAGTCTAGGTTTACACATAAGACTGTGGTGCTGTGAGTTCTGGGGATGGGTGTTCGTGTGGTGGTGGTTCTGAGGTAGACAGGTAGGGGCGGCCGTCCTTTGGGGAAGAAGTATGTGATTCTGGATTTGGCGGCATTTGTTTTGATTCGTCACAGGATCTCCCATGCACTTATCCTGTCCACCTCACGTTGAGTTCTGAGTGAGAGGTATCTGTTGCGTTCGTGTGTGGCGAGTTGTGTGATGTCCGCGTATGCCAGTGTGAGTGTGTTGTGGTGTGCAGGGTCGGGGATGTCATTTGTGTAAAGGATGTACAAGGTGGGGGAAAGGACAGAGCCTTGGGGAACTCCAGCGTGCAGGGTGAAGTGGTCAGAGAGACAGTTCCTGAATTTTATTCTCATCATGCGGCCATCAAGGAAGTTGCTGAGTAACATTTTGACATTCAGGGGAAGGTCAAAATGATTACACAACTTGTACTTCAGCCCCAAGTGCCAGACCGTGTCGAAGGCTTTCTCCACGTCCTTAGCAACCAGGGCCGTTGCACAGCCTTGGGCCTCATTTATTCGAATATAATTCAGGATAATGTTGAGAGCTGCCTGCGTAGAGCGGTGTTGGCAGAAGCCAAATTGTCGGTCTGTTAGTAGGTGGTTTGTCTCTAGGTGTGTCCTTAGTCTGTGATTAATAAGTCTTTCAAATGTCTTCCCAAGGGTCTCCAGTAGACTGATGGGTCTGTAGTTTCTTGGGTCAGTCGGGTCTTTGCCAGGTTTTGGGATGAGTGTGGCTATGGCAGATTTAAATAAGGAGGGGAAGTATCCGGAGGCGAGGCAGGCATTGTGGAGGTCTGTAAGAGCTGAGATGACAGAGTCCGGGAGGTGTTGGAGTATGTGGTGGGATAGTCCTGAAGCTCCTGGGGCTTTGGGAGGAAGCTTCAGGATTAAGGCTTTGACTGAAGGGTGGGAGAAAGGGGTGTTTAGAATGTGGGTGGAGGTGAGAGAGGAAAGTTGTATAGTAGGGTCAGGATGTGTCATGTGTCTGTGTGTGGATATCCAGTGTTCTAAGGCTTGAGTGTGTTGTTGTGCAGCAGGGTCAGGCGGGTGGGGGTGGAAGATGTTTTCCCATATGTCCTTGAAGGCTCGTGCTGCTTGTGTAGGGTCTGTGATGTTTATGTTGTTGTGTGTGATGTGCTGGAAATGTGTTGTTTTTGGGACTCCAGTGACTCTCCGGATGAAGGTCCAGAACTCCCTGGGGTCCTGTATGCGGTGTTTTTCAGCAGCCTGGACGAGGGCCAGCCAGTGTTTGGCGTGGTCCTCATCCAGGCTGCGGATGATGTTGTTCCGCAGGAAAGTGAGGTCTCTGCTGACAAAGGCAAATCTGTGGTGGTTGGAGGCAAAACGGTGTCTGTAGTAGAGGAGAAGGCGTTTTGTTCTCTCAGAAGGGCGGAAGGAGTATCTGACAGTGTGACGTTTCTTTGGTATAGAGTGATCAGCAGCTTGTGTAATAGAGTCCTGGATGAGAGCAATCTGAGTGTCGATGTCTGAGGTGGGTCTGTTGTCAAAGTTATACATGAGATTGGTGTTGTATAGGTGTTGTTTGAAGGAGTCCCAGTTGGCTCTGGAGAATGAGGGACTTGGTCTGGAAGGAATGAGGATAGGGTTAGAGGAAATATGGAGGGTGATGGGGATGTGGTCTGAGCCTGAAAGGGGGCCTGGTGTGATGTAGTGGTGAAGGTAGAGGCTGGCTCTGTTTGTGATGATAATGTCAGGCTTGCCCTGGCCACGTGGGCCGAAGAAAGTGTTGAAGTGTGGGCCAAGATGTATCAGGTGTTTAAGTGTGATTAGTCGTTGCAGCTGGTTTCCATGAGTGTTGGTGTATGTGTCGTGAAAGTCTTTGTGTTTGGCGTTGAGATCAGCAAGAAGATAGACAGGAATATTTGAGTGATTAAAGAGAAGGGAGAGATCAGGAATGTTGATGTTGGAGTTGGGTCTGGCATATGTGGTATAGATGATAATAGGCCCATGAAGAGTGAAGACTTTGACAGCCATGCTGTGAGGACAGGTGAATGGGAGGTTTAGGAAGTCATGTCGGATAGTGCTGTTTACCATGATGGCAGTGCCATTGTAGGGATCAGCTCTAGATTGGCGGGATGTGTAACCCCAGTGTCGGATTCGCTGGGTGTTTTGCACACAGGTGCTGTTGAGAAGCAGCACGTCAGGGCGCTCAGTCTCAACGAGTTCGGCCAGGATGTGCTTGTTCATGTTGTAGCTGCGTATGTTGAATTGTGTGACCTTAAGGGCCATGTTGTATATTGTTTGTGTGGGCAGGGTAGTGAGGTCTAGCTAGTTCATGCTTAGGTCCCATCCTGGTTAGACCATCTGCAGTAGTTTCTGTGTTGTGGTATGTTTCTGTTTTGCCGTGTCTACTGGTGGACTCTGATGAAGGAGGGCGTGAGGGCTTGTGTGGTTTGTGAGTTTTTTCTGTGTTTTCACGTTCTGTATTGGTGTCTGTGTGTGTGTGTTGTTTATTACCACTGTTCTTGTTTCTGGTGGGATAGCGGGAGTTGTGATGAGGGATAGGATGATTTGACCCCAGATTAAACTCATGGTGTCCACCGGGGAATGTGGGAGAAGAGTTGGAGTCAAGGGAAGGTGTGGTAGGTGTGGAAGATTCATTATCAGCAGATGTACAAGATGGAGAAGGTGTGATAGGCTCAGACAGAGTGGGGGTTTCAGGGGGAGGGGGGGCAGGGTGGGGGTTGCTGAGGTGGATGGGCAGGGAACATGTGGGCATGGAGGGACGGCTGGTGTTGCGTCCTGGCATGAGGGAGGGAAGGTGAGGTCAGTTGCTAGGCTAGAGGCAGCTCGGAGAAGGCTGGAGCACACATCAGTGACGTTGTCCGGGCGGGGGGGGGGGGGGGGTAAGGAGAAGTCGGGGGGGAAATTAATTGGTGTTAGGCCATTAGCTGTGAGGAGGCCATTTAAAAGGTTTGGGAGGTTAGCTTCATAATATTTGGGAATCAGGACAGAGAGATGTACAATTGTGGAGATCATGTTGTTTGCTGAATTGGTGTCTGTGTGTGAGGGTAATGAGGTGGCAGTTCCTCTGATAGTGCTAGCGTAGGTGGGAGAGGTGGACGGGAGGGGAGGGACCTGAGGGGTGGTGGGAGGGTGGGGGGTGGCTTGGGGTAGAGAAGGGAAATTTTTTTTTTTTTTTTTTTTATATTTTAGAGAAGGGAAATTGTCAGAAGAAAGGGTAGGTTGTGGTTGGGTAGAGAATGGATTAGGAGTGTTTGCAGCATTGTCGGCACGAATGCTGAGAGTGTAGTCTTTTCGTTTTTGGCATTGTAATGAGGTGGCAGGGTGAGGTTGTTGGCAGTTGGGGCATTTTAAAGGGTTGGAGCAGTTAATCCAGTAGTGGTCAGGGGAAGAACATTTAGAGCATATTTGTTTCTTAGAGCAGTTATTTTTGTCGTGACCGTATTCATAGCATTTTAGGCATTGTATAATAGGAATGTAGTTTGGAGTGAAGAGGGCAGTTATAGGGATTAGGTACATCATGGCACGGATGCCATGTTGCAAGAGATGGGAAGCTTCCTCGGGAGTGGAGCAGCGAATTTTGAGTGTGTTAGAGTTTGGTGGTCTGTATATGTCCTCAACAGTGACGTCATTGTTGTTGGCAATGTCCTGTATTAAGTCAGTCCTGTTTTGTTGGTATGTAGTCAGTATAGTGAGTTCAACATGTTTTGCAACAACTGTGCTCCTGGCACGGTGCTCAGGGGTCCAGTTGATGGTGAAACCTGCATCTGAGAGTTTAGATCTGATAGGCTTTGAGCAGAAAGTTTTGTAGGAAGAAGGATCAAGACGAACCTTGAAGCCAGAGTTAGTAGGTAGTACGCTGAGTAAAGGGCATTGGGAGATGTTGTGGAGAATGCTGGGGCAGTCAATGGTGGCTTTATCAGGTTTGGAATAGCTTAAAAGAAGGGAACAGTTCGCATTTTGGTGGGAGGCAGACATAGTCGGTAACGGCGACAACAGAAAATGCTATCTAGTATAAGGCTAGTGGCAGCGTCAAAAAACATAATAAATGGCCTGTCTACGATGAAACTCAGCAGGGCAAGTACATGTGTAGGTGGCACACGTACTTGCCAGGCAATTACCTTAGTTTTCTGCAGAGAACTATCTATGGAGGCGTCAACAAAGCACTGAAATGAAGAGGTGGACTGTCGCTGATGGAGCACTGTGAATGCCCTGAGCGGCGAGGTGAGGCGGCCCAATATGATTGTCGATCACGAGACACGCTCAGCTCAGGTGTGGTTGCTTCAATCAGCCAATAGGAGTGCAGAGGGAGACTCCCAACCTCTTGGAAGGTTGCCAGCGACGCACAATCCTTGTTGGTGAGATTGAAGACGTTGGTACAGCAATCTTGAGTTCAGCAGCAGGAGTGCTGAGGAAGGCAGCCTGCCCTAAGGAAGGCAGCCAACGACGCACAATATCCTGATGTTGAAGGCGAAGATGAAGGTCCAGGTACCACACAATTGTAAAGAGCCTCTCCCAAAACACGGGGATCGCAAGGCACTGAGGTGTAGAGAGCAGCTGTGTCTGCACAGGGCGAGAGCTACAGTGCTAATGTCGTACCACCCTACCTAACCAACCCCTGACATTTTCTAAACCTTCGCAAAAGTAGACAACATGAAAAGCCGTGTCTTCACCTCCACAAAACCCACACCCGCCACCTTCCACGACTCTTCTGGATCGTAGTAGTGCCCCTGACGGCAATATACCATGTAAAAAACGGAACATCACTTCACGCACCCTAGGCCGTAATTTCAGCTTACTGAATCTGAGCCAAATATTTTCCCACGAGTACATGGGGAACAAACCTTCTAATGGAGCTGCGCACGTACCCCCCAGTAACCTACTTAAAACCCGTATGCGAATGTTTTTCTGTTCCCTTACCATCAACAAAGCCCGTAGTAAAATCTCACATTCCCTCAATTCCATTCCCCCATACCACTTTTTTAATCTCATATATACCTGTTCCATATTTCCGCCATCACACCCACACACGCCAAACCTCCACTTTAGAAAAACACATTGTACCCTACGCTTTAAGTCCAACAATCCCAAACCTCCTCGATGGACAGGTAACATAACAACCTCACGTTTTAACCAATCACACCTCGATCCCCACAAAAAGGTAAATACTCGTCTCAATATTCCATTGATCGCTGTCCCTGTAATCGGGAATACAGCCACAACGTGCCACACCTTACTGTACAATAAAACGTTAACAACGATCACACGTTGGGCCAGAGTGAGATGTTGGGGCCTCAAAACACCCAGACAACCAATGACCTTTTCCAACGTCCTTACTGAATTTTCCTCTCGCGCCACATCCAAATCGTCTCTATAAATAATACCACAAATCTTTAATGACAATGCAGTCATGTTAACCACGTTACAGCTCACCATTCCTTCCCCTTTCCAGGTACCCAACCCCATGATCATTGACTTTTCACTATTTACCCTCATACCCGTGTCTCGTTCAAACACATGCACAGCATCTTCCAACACTTTCATAGACATCCGTTCACACACCAAAACAGTCGTATCATCCACATAACCTATTAATGCCGGCCAACATCTCCCCTCCCCTACCCCCCCTCACCCCGGGAATTGACTGTGCTCTCAACCATCCTGTAAAAGGGATCCTGAAAACACGCAAATAAGATCTGTGACATAGGGCACCCTGGTCGTAAACCTCTACCCATCTCAAAGTCTGTCCCCATACACCCATTTATTTGTACTCTCATTTTTGCTCCCTTGTACAGCGTGTTTACCCACCCAACTATTTCTTCACCATAACCCTGTCTCCTAAGTATACTCTGCAGTGCATCTCTTTCCACTCTATCATAGGCGGCTCGCCAGTCTAAGGCCAGTAAAGCCGCCCCCTCCCCACCCCCCTTTGACTCCACAAAACTTCTTAAAATCCCGTGACCTTCTAACATCGACCTGCCTGGCAACCCAAACTGCGATGGTGAAACAACCCTCCCCACCATGCATTTTACCCTATTACCCAAAATTTTAGCGAAAACCTTATAGTCTGCACAGAGCAACGATATTTCCCTATACTTCCCAAGGTCTGGCTGCCCTTTGCCTTTCGGGACCAGCACCACAACTGCTGTATTCTGCTTATTCCCTAACGTACCCTTCTCCTTCATACAATTTAATAATCTTACCATGAACTTCCCAATCAATGCCCAATGCTGTAAATAAAATTCCACCGGTAAACCATCAATACCCGGGGCTTTGCCCTTTCTCATTCCATGTAAAGCAATTTCAATTTCCTCCTCAGTAATATCCCCACCCAAAGCCTTCCTATCACTATGACTCAAATTGCACTTGGCATATGTGCACACCCTATTTAATTCCACTTCATCCACATCACTACTAGTCCAGTATTTTTTATACCACATATCCGCATATGCACTCACAGCTTTCGAGTTTCTTATCACCTGACCTGCTCTATGGATTCCCATCGTCTCATGTACCTCTAAGCTCGGGATTGCCATCAGCACCTGCTTTTGCTTTTGCTGCCGCAACACACACGCGGATGGCTTGTTTCCCCACAAAACTTCTTCTAATCCTGCTTGCACCCGCACCGCTTGAAACCGCTCATTATGCAACGTTCGCAAGCTCTCTTTTATGTCTACAATCTTGTCCATAGGGTAAACACCACCAACCATTCCCTGCCCATAACAACTTCTTAATCAATCCTCTAAATAATTCACTAGTCCATATTTTAGAGTGTTTATACGTTTACCCTCCCTCATGTAAAAGGCTTTTATCCTTTCTTTTGCTACCGAGTCCCACCACGTTACAATGTCTTCTACCTCCTGAGCTTCCCTTGAAAGCTCTTTCCACAGCATAGAAAAACCCTCTAAACCTTCGTCATCACTTAACACACTAATATTTAATTTCCAATAAGGCCGATAAATTTCCGCCATCCCCTCCCACCCCACCTCCACTACTACTGCCCTATGATATGACAAGACCGTCTCGACCGTATTAAAAGACTTCACAACTACTCCTTGAGAAATATACACTCTGTCTAACCTTGCAGCATATCCCCTTCTGATAAAAGTATGTTCCGTTTCCCACACCCCTCCCCCAAACACATTATGTAACTTAACATCCCTCAACAAATCTCTGAGAGGTGCAGACACATGTCCAGCCCCTTTGGGTTAGACATCAGCCGCCCTGATGACACAGTTCCAATCACCCCCCACTAGCGCCACTTCTGGAAGTGCACGCAAAAAATAAACAAGGTCCTCACACACAAAATCCTTTCGTACCTTCGTGCTATTCTCCGCAGGGGCGTACACACTTACTAAAGATGCACGCTTTCCCATCCAAGTTCCATCCACTCTCAACACCCTCCCCCCACCCCCCTCACATATCTGCAATACAAACGGGCTCTTCTCTTTTATTAAAAGACCCACACCACCTTTGAAATGGATAGTTGGCAGGGTCAGTACTTTATAACCTGCAACCTCCGACATTTCCCCCTCTTTGAAATTGTGTTCTTGAAGGAACATAACATCACCTCTGTGTTTGCTAAGAAAATTGTTTAACCAATCTCTCTTTAGTCTAGTACATAAACCGTTAACATTAGCAGTCATACACCTAAGGCCTGTTATATTTTCCACCCTTGCCTCTTCTCCTCTCTTTTTTCACCACTTGAATTGTTATTTTTATGGGTTTTCTTTACAGGACCTTCCCATTCGCCTCCCTTCTTGCGATGGCGTCCCACATGACCCCCCCCCTCTCCATCCCTTCCCTCACCCATCCTCTCAGTTTTCTTCCCAGTCCTCTGTGCTGGCGTCAGTACGTCATCTGAATCTGACGTAGCTGCTCGTTTCCTCGTAACGTTCTTATCCTCCATGTCAAGGTCTGAGGAAGCCTCACGGTGTACCTCAACATCCACTTTACAGTGAGGTATGAAGTCCCCCGATGTCTCAGTCTCGTCGTCATTCCGCTGAGTCTCATATTGTTCGCAATCTGGACTCAAAAAGTCTCCAGCTACGTCATTCATAGACGGAGCTTCCACCACAGGTGGTGACAAGGTCTTTAAAACTTCGTCCAATTCCTCCCCTATATTTAACACGTCATTTCGGGGTACCAATCCAGCAGATGGTATTGGCAGCGACTCAGGTGCAGGGAGCTGAGGGGAGGACACACTCTCATTTTGAAAAGCCTGTTCCACCATCTCACTCCACAAACGACCACGCCCTTCCTCTGATGATCGATGCTCACCTTCACCACGTGTGACTGGGGCTACCTCTTCTTGCACAGGTTTGGTCACGTGTCTGTTCTTCTCGCATGCTGCCGCTATGTGGTCATACTCTCCACAAATGCGACACGTACGCCGTTGTCCAGGATATAAAACCATTACCTGTGTCCTAAAATCTTGAAGATACACGTATGATGGTATGGGTTGCCGCAACGTCATTTTAAGGCTGAAAGTACCTTCTGGCATACCTTTGTAGGCACCCATCAGCCACTTACCCTGCTGGGCAGAATGCACAGTCCCATATTTCTCAAATACGTTTCTGATGTCAGCTTCGTTCGCCTCAAAGGGGACAGTCCTCAACTTTATCCAGGTATAATATCGAGACACGTCCACCAGTCTCACACGCACAGCAGGCGTAACGTCAAAACACACATCTTGAAAGCACGTAACCACCGATTCATATACTGTCGCAGCAAGCAGTTTCACAAATATTCTATGCGCTCCATTCAACGCTACCCCATACAATTCGCCGTCTTCAATGCCATATGTCTCCCTAATTATCTTGGGTAAAAGTATCTGAGCTGAACTAGGTGTAATCGCACCTCAAAGCAGTTCAATACCAATAGTATTAATGCGTCTGCGATGACAAACCGCCATCTTAACACCAGTAATTTTCCAGCGGTGTCAACAGAGACACAACAACACCTCGTACCACTGCTGTCAGGTTACTGAGGAGCGTCAGGCAAGGGGGGTCTACACGGCCCGGGAGCGATGCAGACAGTCCTTTATTATTGGCTTTTGGTGTGTTGCTGCAGTTGATCCCCAAGCACAAATAGCATAGGTGAGGTATGGATAAATAAGTGAGTGGTATAGTGTGAGAAGGGCATTTTGCGGCACGTAGTATCGTATCTTGGAGAGGATCCCAACCGTTTTGGATACTTTTTTGGTTATGTGTTGGATATGGGTGCTGAAATTTAGGTTGTTGTCAAGGTATAGGCCTAGGAATTTGCCCTCATTATGTTTGGTAATTAGAATGTTGTCGATCTTAATGTTAATTTGTGCATCTGTTATAATGGGTCTTTTCGTAGATAAGATTGGTGAAAATGCTGAAGAGGTATTGTGGAGGTTATGCATACACCTGTTGACTAGAAGTGGGATTTATTAACAAAAGGGTACACTATGCAAATGGTTGTCAGGGGAGCCAGGAGCCAGTCTTGGGGGGAGATGTTGATGCAAGCTCAGCAAGGGGAGAGAGAGAGAGAGAGGGCTGGTCACTAGGATAGACCTAGGAGCCTGCCCTTTGAAAGGCACTTCTGAAACTAGGCTTTAGGCCAGCGATTCCCTCTAGTGGAAGGTACGTGAAACAGGTAGGTAGGCATACTATCTACACACACACTCACACATAACTCTGCTGGGTGCGTGATCTTTGAAGGATTGCTGGTTAAGTGGTTAAGACAATGTAAACATTGTTTTGTCTCTGGAGGACAACATGGGTTCGAGCCCTCGGCTAGTCGCATTGTTGTTATTGATTAAATACCATTCGTTCGTGGTTACAATACGATATATACTGCTTGTGGAGGCTAGTACACCAAATGGGGAGTAGAATGAAATTAGATCTGAGGCACCCACACTATCGTATGTCCTCGGATCCCGGTACAACACCTAGCTCTGCTGGGTGCATGATCTTTGTAGGATTGGGTGATCCTGTAGGTTAGAGTGTCGTGTGATTTTTGCTTACCATGAGGCAGGCCAAAACAACATGAGTTCGAGCCCTTGGCTAGTAGAAGTGTTGTTATTGATTAAACACCACTCGTTTGTGGTTACAATACTATATATATATATATATATATATATATATATATATATTATATATATATTTATATATATATATATATATATATTATATATATATATATATATATATATATTATTGCTGTGATGTTAAATAAAATTTCACATCGTTGAAAAAGTATCTAGGAGGAAGGTTACCTTTGTTCACACGTTAAATATTTTCGATACCTTTTACAGATGAGTGGGTTCCTATGCCGAACAACAGCGCCTGCATTCCCGTGGACACCTATGCACCATGGCCCTATGTCAGACAATCCCTCAATGAGCTCTTCAGAATGAACATTATGCCATCCTACGGTGCACCACCATTACCTGTACGCATGTGTCTCCACAACCTCGCTCCTTGCAACGCCAACGACTACTGTGGCATGAAGAATGAGACTGAAAGGGAAGTTAACATGTGCGTAATCACCAACACGACACATCCTAAAGTGAACCAGAAGCAGTTGGTTCTTAAGTACTTGGAGCATAGCAGTTGTGAGTGCCTCAACTTTGAGAACTACAATAATAAGGTGGTAAAGGACTTTTATACTACTCCCACCATCACCAATGCTGAAATTCACGACGGTTGTGAGATGCCTGAAGAAAACCACAGCTCATCCGTCCAACAGGTTTACCTCTCAACAATGTTGTTTACCTTTTTCCTTGGTGTACTATGTACGTAATCCCCTCAGAGAATCCGTAGTTTGGAAATTAGGAGGTGCGGGGTTACTAAAAATATTATCCAGAGGGCTGAGGAGGGGTTATTGAGGAGCTTCCGACATTTAGAGAGGCTGGAACGAAATATAATGACTTAGAGAATGTATAAATCTGTAGTGGAAGGAAGGCGGGGTATGGGTCGGCCTAGGCAACGTTGGAGGGAGGGGGTAAAGGAGATTTTGTGTGCACAGGGTAAGACTTGTCCTGCTCTCAAAATCAGCATATAAAAAAATCACAAACGGCTCCAACACTACATGGTATGATCGCCCATAAGAAGAGGGCCACCAGCCAGCCTCTCGCCTCGCGCCATTCTCCACCAATCACAAGCCAGTCAACACCTCGCGCTGATGAGATGCACACAGCAGTGCTTCCATGTCATCGATCAAGCTTGCCTGCGTATCCTGACTCTCAAGCTCATTCCTGCAAAACTCCTTCACGTTCAGCTCTGCTGCTGGGTCAAGCCCTGGCTCTTTCTCTAAGACTAAGGACACTCCTCTCAAGATCTACTCTTCGTCTATCCAGTCTTCCCCGCTCACCCCTTCTTGGGGTCTTACCTAGAATCTATAGAATAGAATAGTGTGCGAGGGGCTTGGACTTCCATCAAGCATGCATGAGCGTGTTAGACAGGAGTAAGTGGAGACAACCGTTTTTTATGACTTGATGTGCTGTTGGAGTGTGAGCAAGGCAACATTTATGAAGGGATTAAGGGAAACCGGCAGGCCTGACTTGAGTCTTGGAGATGGGAAGTACAGTGCTTGCACTCTGAAGGAGTGTAGTCACGGCTCTTGAAAGACTGTCAGGGAGTGAATGATGATGAAAGTGTTTCTTCTTTTTTGGGTCACCCTGCCTTAGTGGGAAACGGTCGATGTGTTAATAACAAGACTAATAATAATAATAATAATAAATAATAATAATAAACTAAGTAATGCATATTTTATATTACACAAATTTTCGTTTCCCTACCCATAAATATGGCACCATTAGGCTGCTGAATTGCTTTTGACCCAAGAACTTGAGTTAACTTTCCATTACTCAGATCCAACATTAATACCTCCAGTCCTCCTCATTGTATAGGTGCTGTATGACCCTTATAGGTACAGAATCTTCCTATGAATTTATTTTTTGTGCTTTGATGGCTATACACTCAGAGGTATTCTTGTTTTCAGTGGTCTAGTAACCAACGCTCTCGCCTCACACACTGAGTGTCCGTAGTTCGATCCCCGGCCGGGTGGTAACATTGTTCGTGTTTCCTTACACCTGCTGTTTCCGTTCACCTAGCAAGTTAAAAGGTACCTGGGTGATAATCACCTTACACCTGCTGTTTCCGTTCACCTAGCAAGTTAAAAGGTACCTGGGTGATAATCACCTTACACCTGCTGCTCCGGTTTACCTAGCAAGTAGGCAACTGGGTGCTAATCGCCTTACACCCGTTCCCATTCACCTAATAGTAAGTAGGTACCTGGGTGTTAATCACCTGAGTGTTAGTCGACCGGTGTGGGTGGCATCCTGGGGGACAAGATTGAAAGACCACAATGGAAATAAGAGAGATGGCCTTTGATGACGCACTGACTTTCATGGGTTATCCTGGGTGGCTAACCCTCCGGGGTTAAAAATCCAAACAAAATATTATCACCCGTACATAAAAGTCCTTAAGAGGCAAATAAACCAAAACTCAAGTACCTCAACAGACCCACCACCCATAATTCACATGCACATAGAGTTCAGGACTTCAATAAACTAAGGAGCTGGAATTCAGTTCTTTAATCATTTTCTCTCAGTCTACAATAGGATTCGAACCTGCAAACTCGACATCAGAGTACACAATACTTTATCCACAGAATCAAACTCCTGGAATCTAGATCTGTGGATAAAGCACTGTGGACTCGGATGCCGAGTTTGCAGGTTCGAATCCTGTTGTGTACTGAGAGATAATGTTTGTAATTAATTTCATTTTTTTTGGGGAATTGCAAAGCAATCGCAGACAAATGATCTCAATGCAAGATAAGCCACGGGGGGGGGGATCTTTAACTCAAGTACTTTCACACTTCTCGGTGCGTCGTCAGAAGCTGTGCAAAGGCAGAAGCAGGAGAAATGAGGAGGACCTTTTTTATATATTTTTTAGAGTAAGGTAGCGTGAGTGGCACCTGCTAGTACTTCTCTCTCAGACACAGAGATACTGGCGGGAGTTACTCTACCTTACCCTGAAAAAAATTCCTTTCCTTTCTCCTCATGCTATCTTTGTAACATTGCACTGACAAGTGTCAAAGTACTCGAGCTGAAGATTTCCATCCCTTTTGGCTTGTCTTGCTATATATATATATATATATATATATTATATATAATATAATATATATATATTATATATATATAATTATATATATATATATATATTATATATATAATATATAATTATATATACCCACGACGGGGAGTCTCCGTATGTAGTTATTAGCTCTTGATCCAAGAAAAATGATCTGATCTCGCTTTCCTGGGACCTAAATGACCACCTCCGCTTAACAATATGCCGTATATCGATTCGTAAAAATTTAGAGCTCATTCAAAAATACTATTTATAATGCATAATACTAGAATACTTTATATAATATAAAAATATGAGTTGTCCAATATATTTTGTATTTTAATTTTGCCTGCATATTATAATTTAACTGCACCTATTAATGTTATATATATTAATATATAATATATATATATAATATTATATATAAATATATATTATATATATATATATAATATATATATATATATATATCCTGGAGGGAGATGCTTAATGCTGGGAAGCTGCTATTGATTTGAGAAAGTCGTTCTGCCTACTTCTTCCTGGGATCTAACTTGAATGCATCAAATTCCCACAGGCTCTGTATGATCCCCTATGGGTTTAGCACTCCCCAGTCTATATGATAATAACAAGAAGAATAAAATATTATTTTAATTATTATTATTAAGTGATAATAAAAATAATGAGTCTATAATTATTATTATTAGAGTCATCATGAATAATAATAATTAATAATTTTCATAATAAATAATAAATTCTAATTTTAAAATAAATAATATTACTATATTATTATTATTATTATTATTATTATTATTATTATTATATGGAGGAATTTTCTCCAGGAGGGGGATATCAGCCCCCTTCAGCCCTTTTCAGCTCTTTTCAGCCGTGAGAGGCCCAGCCCTCTCAGAAGGGGCAAGCATCTTGTTTACTTCCACATCAAGTAATTACAAGCCGATGTTTAACCAGCGTATACCAGTCTTAGATCATGTGACTCCTTGCAAGAGACCAGTGTTGCAACCAGTTTCAGTTAACAAGTGTAAATAATCTCTGTACCGCAACAGGAAAGGTACAGGGAAACTTCTACCTCACTTCATTCACATATGGGAAAAAATGAACTCTAAGTGATTGAGACATATCTCGAAATCAAGCATTCTGCTTTGCTTCCTGGTGGAAGTTTGGCAAGCAGGGGAAATATATTCTGTCAGCTTTTCCTTTGTAGCTGGGGGCAAGTGAGGTGCAGCGAGGTGCGGTATAAGCCACATGACTTTTAACCCTGCCAAAGGAGATATTAATGCCAGGATAACGAACAAAGAACACTGATCCACATGTTTTTGTACATAAAAGTATCTCAATAGACACAGCAGATATAGAGAAGTGTGATCAGCTTCTTTAGTGATAAGACTGTGAATAATAAACAATACTTGATGAACAGAGTGTAACAACAAGTGTTGTTCAAAGAACACGTTTGCTTCAATCAAGACACTGATACCCGAGTTCAATATGGGTCCGATACAGACACCCAGGTAGGTCTAGTCATAAATGTTACTAGTCAGATCAGCTATGCAGCAGATAGCTAGTTCATTTGTCTCTGGATGTACCATACACTCGGTTATAGACGGGCTTTTTAGCCCAACACACGTGAGTATAGATTCCCATCAATATTCAGTTATTGAAATACTGACACAATACCCCTAGGAGTAATTATACTTATGCAACATTTTTTTTTTCACACAGCCCTTAGGGAGTGCATATGACAGCTTCTCAAGACATTGCCTACAGGGATGGCTGTGTAGGCCAGAGCTGTCTTTCAAGATAAGCCCCATTACAGTCCATTATCTACTCTTTGACATAGCTTGCAGCATTTCCCTAAAAATTATTATTATTATTATTATTATTATTATTAATGATGACAAGGATGATGATAACAAAATATATACAAAGAAATTTGGTAATATATTTCAGTTTCGTATTTCTTAATAGCTCTTGTATTTAAATGTCGCGGCCGTTCTGCTATGCTATGATTCTAGGTAAGATCTCAAGAAGGGGTGAGATGGGAAGTGTGGACAGAGGAAGAATAGGTTGGTTAGAGGAAGGGTTTTTGTAAGAGGGAAAGAACCAGGGCTTAACACAGTAGCTGAGCTGATGGCGATTCAGGAGGTCTTGCGCAACTTGGGGACTGGAGGGGGGGAAGGGGCTACAAAGCGTGATCGCACCGGTACAAGGCGATATTAAAGGTCCATCCCTGTGAGTTACAGGTTAGTGATTCAAGATTTTAGCAAGATAAGATAAGATAAGATAAGGTTATTTGTATATAGGAATTGGGTCAGGTGCTATTAGAGAGTAGAAGAGGTTGTGTGTGTTTTGCAGGTCTGCGTAGTTCGTCATCTAAGTATGAGGCCTGGAGTCCCATGTCCCTGTCTCTATCTGTCCTATTTTGTGGTCCCGCTAAACAATTTCCAGTCACGTTTAGGTCAGGAAGTCTGCACGGGCGTGGATGACTCACTTGAGATGAATTCCATCCAGCAGGGTTAAACACCCGCGTAAGCTGTGTTCTGATGCGTTGTAATTACGTTTGTTTGTCACGCGCTGCTAGGGAGAGGGCTGTTGGGCAGTATGTTTATTAGTGGACGAATGAGGTTTTGTACAGGTTAAGTTCGTTTGTATGAGGCTTCCTTTAGCCTTAATAGCCCCGATAAGAGGGCCTTGATTCAACAGCTTGCTTCTGGTTGATGTGTAAGTTATTCGCATGTTTTGTCTAGAAGTATTCTAGACGTTGGTTTTGTTCCCGTGAGACGGGATGTTGTTGTGGGATCAGCTATCCTGAGTGTTACTGGAGGGGGTGGTTCACGTTTCCTGTAGTGGAAGTAGGTGATTTGGGATGTTGCAAGGTTGGTTTAATGCTATCTCCATTTTTGTTCCCATTGGTGTGATCTGGTCTACTTCGCTTGTGTTCGCGGCAGAGTGGTATTTGGATTGTGTGTGAGTTGGGGATGTCGTCTGCATATGCAAGTGTGATGGTGGAGTCAAAGGCAGGTGTTGGTTGTCGGTGGTGTATAGAAAAGTAGAGGGGGTGAGAGGACTGAACCCTGAGAACTCCAGCATGTAGTGGGAAGTACTGTGAGAACATCACTGAACTTATTCCTCATGGTCCTACCATCTAGGAAGTTACCTAGTTTTGCTGATAGTCCCGAGGGAGGTCGAAGTTGGTTACAAAGTTTAAACATTAGACCAGTGCAACACTTGTGTCAAAGGCTTTTTCTACATCGTTAGCTACAGAGCTGTCCTTTTTCCATCGGTGTTGGTTTATGTGGATGTAGTTTTAGAATTAAACTGAGCTCTGGTGGAGCGGTTTGATCTGAAGCCAAATGGCCATATAGAGTTTGTTTCGAGATGTCTACGTAAGTCGTAGTTTATGATTTTTTCATAAATCTTTTCCCCAGTACTTCAACAGGCTGATGGGGCGTATTTTTTTGAGGGTCAGAGATGGTTTTTATTGGTTTTGGGATGAGGAAAGCAGTGCGGCTTTGAAAGAGTGGGGAAGTAGCCGGATGTAGTGATCAATGAGTAGTTGGTGAAGGCTGAGATGATGAGTCAGGAGGTGTTTTTAGGATGA